ATTTCAGCTGACAATGCATCTTTCCCCTACACTAAGCATCAACTACAATTACATTACCAAGTCCTCTTTTTTTTCTATTCTACCTTAGCCATCCTGACCTCCCTTCTTCATTTTGGGTGGGATAGGAGTTCACATTTTTTCCCAGAGGCCAATAATGTCCTCTTTCTTAGTTTACTCTACATTTTCGTAGGAGCACATTTTCAAGTAATGTCATAAACATTGGCAATTGCCATATCTTGGAAGATAACAAAAGTTATTGGTGGTCCTCACAGAAGAATTAAATGTTGTGAACTCCTTCTGTACTCTTGTCTTTTATACAGACATATTTTTAAATTTTATTTATATTATTTTTGCACTGGGGCACACAATGTGACATTTACAAACATTCTTACACATATATCATTTCTCTTTGATCCCCCCTCTCCCAAGTTAACGGCTGAAATAGTTTCAATCAAGATATTACATTTTTCCACTTAATACCGGATACATGCTGTAAAAAAATATTTCTGCCACTACCCTTTCCTCTACTTCCTCGGCCCATACCCACTTCGAGTACATTCCAATCCCCCAGATTAAGACCCTTGTTTTGCCGTTCTTTAATTCTACTGATTTTGCTAAAAAACTTTTTTTCGTTTTTCAAAATAGCTATACAGATTGTTTCTTGTGACATTTTCATTATATGTATCTATAACCTGAAATTGGTTCGTCCCATCTCATTTCTTGCCTTTTCTACTTTAGCCCTTCCTCTATAGTCGATTTCAAACAGATGTCGTTATAATAAATTCCTATCATTCATCTCTTGTACTAGAAACAGCACATCAAACCATATTTACCTTTACTTACAACCTTCTTTCTTTTACCCTCCACCTCCTACCTCAACCTCTGCTATGTGATCCTCCCTATAGTGTTGACCTGGTATTGTTCATCTCAATATTGGTCCGTCATCTACACATGTAGCTCAAGGATTCTATATTCCACCATATCAAAGAAAACATATGCTCAGCCTTTAAGCGTTATATCCCTCCGCAACCGGCTAACTTACACGTTAACGCATGATGCTTCTCACCATGTCCACCAGTTTACCTAGCAACCAAAATTGACAAAATTTTTTCTCTCATATGGCACTGATAAAATTCCCATTGTGTATAAATGCCCACATTTCTTCTATACATTCCCAGCATACAAATCACGTAGCTGGAGCCATATTTGTCGAGTTTCACTAAGCCCATTCGCCTGTCTCTACGTGACCATAATACTGGCAATAAACATCACGGGCAGTGGCATTGAACACTTTATGTTGTAACCTGCACTTGTATTCCAAATTTGGGTATATCCCTAGGAGTGGTATTGCTGGATCATATGGCTTCTAGCTTTAGTTTTTGAGGGGCCTGGCATACTGTTTTCCATAGTGGTTGCACTAATTTACATTCCAACAGTGCACGAGGGTTCATTTTTTCCCCACATCCTCGCCAACATTTCACACTGCAAATTGTTACTTCCATTACTCAACAAAAAGGAAGCTAGGAAGTGAATTCTGACATGTTCTTAGGACACCTGAAATATTTCTTGATTAGCATATCATAGCTATCACAATAATTTGGCTCATTTTCTTTCTGGAAATTCTGAGTTGAAAACTACGATTTGGGGGATTTACTCTTTATATTTTCTATGTTTCTATCTATTTATTTAGATGCTATACTTGTACACAAGCATCTTATTTGACTCCCTGAAAGTCTAATACATATAATTGTACTATTTACCCAAAATTGAAGTTCCTGACTGCTGTCAGCTATTTATCCAGCCTTCCCTCATTATGGACAAGACACTTAATTTTACCTAACCTTTAACTCTCCAACATAAGGATTACTCACTATCTCTCTTTTCCTTACATCTCAGTTCTTCATGTTATCTGTGTAGGTAAAATGCCTTTATCATTTATATGACTATGTCACTAACCCTCTTATTAATGCTGTAGCCTTAGTCATTTTCATTGTCACCAAGATTTACTGTAGTAATCTCTGAATCTTCTTAACACTTCAGCTTTTGCTCATCTAGTCAATTCTGCACACTCATTCCTCTTTAAACCTACCAGTCATGACACTTCCAAGTTTAAAATGAGCCAGTGTTTTCCCACCACTCTAGGAAGAAAATGCCTTCCTCATTCTCTTTTACTCCTACTTCTGTCTCATTAGCTTGCTTTGTTCTAGCCACCTTGACCTTCTTGTTCCTTAGGAATTTATCAAACTTACTCCCTTCTTGAATGAGACAACTCACAAAACACTTTCTCCAGACCTCACAAATTTCCTTATTTCAACTTTAATTTTATGCATTAGATCATCAAAAAACACTTTCTCTTATTACCCCTTTTATCTTGCTCTATACTATTTTCCAGGTTGTTTTCCTTCCTAGCCCTTATCTCATCATAATTAAATTGTTTATCACTTTGTTTCTATCTAGCCTCTGAATTACAAAGGCCACACGAACAGTGCAATGATTTGTGTATTTCACTGCATTACTAGTATCCAAATATTATCCTTTATTTATTTTTTGGTTTATCAAATTCTATCCCCTTTTCTTTTATCTCGCATCTACTTTCAAACTCCCCCAAAATATTTTTCTGAGATATTAAAATAGTTCTAATTAGACTATGTGGTATTTGCTCATAATTACTCTTTGTTTTCACACTTTATATGTTATCATTATGAGGAATATTTGCACAGTAAATTTGGCTAGGAATTTAGTGGTATGGTTGAGTCAGATAATTTACTGTACCTTTTCTAGCATTTTAACTGAATTGAGTTACCTCCTTTTTTAAATCACAATGTACACGCAGTAGCCTACCAACCCTAAACTAGTAGATCGAACCTGATGTTTTCTTCTGGATCCACTGCTCTAACGTATAACAAAATGAACATAATTCTGTTTTCATTGAATGCCGTATTATTTTCCTTCTAATCAATTTTATGGAGAGTTTGACAGGTACAGAGAATTAACTTTAACACACAATTCACTATCCTTCATCTTGAGTTGAAATCCACTAATTTGTTTTTAGATTATGTAAAAAGATTCCTAACCATATATGCAGAGTATTAGTAACAATATACCAATATTTTACTGAACTATAAATTTAGAATCTTTTGGTAAATGTATCAATTTTAGCATTGTACACTACATTTTTTCATAAAACAACTAATCACTGGAACTCACTAATTTGGCAGCCTGGGTGCACACTAACAGTCAAAGATATTATATGAGTTTGTTTCTTTTTTACTTTCTGCTCTTGACCTTAGTTTTGTGTTGTGGTTTTTGTTTCCATCATTGTTTATAATAACTGTGAGTTGAAATTAAGTAAGACAATACCACGCAATTTAATACTATGTACAGTATCGCTGTAAGGTCAGAATTGGGCACAGTATGAAAATTATCTTGTTTAAACTTTAGCTAAAATAATTCACCTGCTGAATGGAAAGATGAAATGGTTTTCTGAAGTTCACTTGCTCTTTGTATAGTACTACTAAAATCTCTCCTCATTTCTTTTACTTCATAATACTCTCTAATCTGTCTCCCTATGCAAATGTGTGTAAGATGGTCTGAAGAGATTTATACCTTCTCCAGAATGAAACTTCTGTGCAGAAAGACTTATAAATATTGTGACCACATTTTAACTTTATGTTACTAAGTACATATGTATGATTATTTTTAATTAACTCATTTGGATGGCTTATATTACATTCACCAGGGTACTAATTCTCTCACTGGATCCAGCCTTAGTTTTTTAAACATTGAGTATTGCCTATGGCTATATATTGGTCTTATGGTATAAAAAAGAAAGACATCTTATAGGTAGGATGCTTCCTATAGAACGTTTTGTGTTAAATGTGCATAATTAATATCAAATGAAGCTGATCAGACAATCTGGAAGTTATGAGGGAGACAAAAAAAACAAGTAAAAATGTTTTGTAATTCACAAATGTATTCCACTTCATTTCTTCCCAAATGTCTTGCTCCAGTTCCTTTTTGGTTTTCGGTTTCCCCATGACTTTGCCTCAGCATTCCTGTTGCCATTGCATCCAAGCCACGATACTCACAGAAGGCGTGGTAGTTCCTGCTGCTGTGACTGACATTACCTTAAATCTCTGTGGATGGACTTGGTGGTTCGGCAGTGTGAGGGTCATTGTAGGATGTTTTGTCTAAATAGGACTCTTTTTATATTTCATGGTGTAGAAGTCCCAAAATGTACATTGGATATTGCTTATTATAGCACCAAACAAGTACTGTGTTGTGTAAGCAACTATTTCTCTTTATCACTTCTGTGTTACAAATGCATTTCTTTCTCCGAAGTGGATTAACCAGCCTAGAATCCTATCAAATGTCAATTCAAGTATGGATCTTCCATACACATGGTCTCAGGAGATCAGGATTCATTGGCAATGCTGTTCTTTCAAGGGAGATCAATATAGACACACATAATTTTTTTTTTCGCTTTGCTAACAGAAAGTATTATCAAAACACAGAATTTCTTTCTTTCTTTCTCTCTTTTTTTTCCTAAGCAGAAAGTAACATATAGCCAGAACTCAAGGGGGAAAAAAAGTTAGCTGATGAATCAACACCCAAGAACTTGAGAAGAAAGTATATTTTTTTATTACCCACTAAGCCACGATAAGGGTTATTATCATGAGCTAATCATTCCTCTGGAGCAATGCAAGACAGGGGACACAGCTGAGTGCTATCATGCCCATGGGATGTGATTAGCTCATGATAACAGCATCCCCTGGCCTCATTGCTATTATGAAATGTCTATTCCCCCCCATTTTCTATATATAAATAAATGATTTTGGCGGACAGATTCAATTCCCACAAACTGCAAGTTTGCATTAAAATGCTTCAGCTGTGAGATTCACAGATATTAATCTACCCTTTTGGAATGTTGAACAGTCAATCAGAATCCTTCTTCGTCTCAAGCTGTTTTATGATATTATTACAACGTATTTTGCGACGGAATGGCGGGTAAAGCAAGTTTCAGAGAAATAGGCTTGTTTGGGCTCGGTTTTGTTGCTTGAGGGAAACCTCTACATAAAATGACTCTGCTGGCTCACTAAGGCATCCTAACTTTCTCATTATTTTTTTTCCTGCCCGACTCAATTTCTTTGCTGCATTTTAGAAGTCTGAGGCTCATTCCTCTAACTAGATTAATAAAAACAGATTTCTTATTTTATATTTCAGAATTGACAGAGGAAAATGCCACCATGGTAGTGTCAGAGTGAAGTGAAGAAATATCATCTTAGATTTTGGGGATTTTTAAAATTACATTTGAAGTAAGATTGATTTTCAGATTCAAGAATAATAGGGAGTTTTGATATAATAAGAAGGATGTAGGTGAAAATGGCACAATTAATTTATAAAGTTTAAAAGTCAATGTCCTTTCAATATGCTAAAGAATTCTGGGTATTAAATCAGTAAAGTTGAGTCCTCTCCCTGGTTGTTCTTCTGAAAGACGGAAACATTAAGTAGATTAGCATAGAATCCTAACACAAAATTTTCTCTTAAAAGATTTAGGGCAGATGTGTTGAAATATTAGAATAAATTATTTTGTATAAATGACATACGTATCTAACAAAATGAGAGGAGAAAATGACTTCTTCCTTGTCCTTAAAATTATTTTATTACTTCAGGCGGGAGTCTTTTTTTCTCATTCTGCCTTCATTGTCCTGCATTTCTGAGAAGATATAGGCAATTATCATTGGCTAGGCAGTATCTTTAAGAAACACTAAATTTGCTATTTAACCTCCCTCTTCTCTGCCAGTGTTGCCTTTATTGTATCGAAGGGGAAGGAAGCTTGTCTTACAGCATATTGGACCAGAAAATGGAGAGAATTATGCATTAACTTTTACAAAGCATATAATGAAAACGCAAATTCAGTTATCAACTCAGAATCATAAGTGAGTGGTGCTGTTATTTATTGTTTTAAATGTTACATAAATCGTGCTGCTGCACTTTAATGTAGGTTATAAGACCTTCAGCTATACCTCTTCTATCACCAAGAAAGTCTTGAAAGGACAATTATGTCCGGTCGTTTGACATGCCCGCCACGCGTCTTTATAGTCTAACCATCATAATCACTCATTTTAGCCTGGCATACATTCATTTTACACCTACCTTAATTGTATTCTAATTCACATCTCTTTCAATTGTTTGACACGTCTCGCCGGTTTTTTTATGCAACCATTAACCAGTTTCTGTGCTGCTCTGTTTATTTCCTTTCTTTTGTTTCTTAAGTGTTTATTTCCTTTTTATTGTTTTATTGCTCTCTCACATTTCGTTGGTTATTTCGATCTGCAATTCTGAAAATAAATTTCCTATTAGAGCCGTTAGTTTTATGTGTGAACTTGAGTAGGCTGCCGTATCCAGTCATTCAGTCAAACACTAGGGTTTGCCATAAAAGTAGCACAGATGTAACTAACATTCATAACTGGGTAACTTTGCAGGAAAAAAGATGTCCGTTTGTAATCTGTGTGGGCCTGATTCAATCAGTTGAAAGCCCTCAGGACAGGACTAAGGCTTTCTAGGGAAATACCACCTCTGCCTATAGACTGCAGTAGGCCTTGCCTGAGTTTCCAGCCTGTCCATCCTAATAGCCTGCCCTTCAAATTTTGGGCTCGCCTAGTTTCTCCTCACAAAGGCAAGATAGGAATCTAGACCAATTCCTTGCAAATGTGCGTGCACACTCACACACACACACACAAATCACACACATTACGGTTTCTGTTCATCTGGGGAAACCCCAACTGATAGGTATACCTACAAAATTAGATCTGGTAGGTGATATGCACTCAAAATTGTTCTTTCATTTTGATTGATTTCACAGGAAAAGAATGAATCTGATGATAGTTATAAGACCTATAATGTTCCCCTAAATCTCAGTGAAATTTGATAAAATTCTAAATGAACACATACAAAAATGGCTGTTTAGGGAAGAATAACAGGCTAGAATTTTTTAGAAGAAATTAAAAAAAATAAAATCACTTGTATGGATGGATGGCACTATTGAGACATAACTCTTAAAACCAAACGCTTTTATTTATTTATTCAGTTTACATAGCATTGTTTTCCTTCTGTGTGCCAGGTGTTGCACTCGACTGTAGACTTTTTTTTAGTTAAAGAATTCAAGAAAAAGAGGTCATAGACATATCATTTTAAAAAGATGTGATAACCACTATGCCAAATGTATTTATGAAGTTCGCTGTTTCCACAAACAGGTATTAATCTAATTTCTTTGTGTTACGCGAGAGAAGACTAAATTAAAGATGTAGCTAATGGCTTGACAAGGAGAGAGAAAATGTGGCACATGAAATATGAACAGCCAGAAGGAGGGAGAAGGTATTTTTTAAGGAAGGCTAGTGATAATGACAACACTTAATTAATGAATAGCATAGTGTGTTATAGGAAATATAAAGAGTTGACATTGCTGGAGAATAGTAGAAAAGATTTGCTTGGCAGCCTGCAGTTTGTAATTTGTCTTGTGGTCACCGAGGTAATTGTGGAATTGTAGCGCTAAAGAATCAACTAAAGAGTTTTAGACATACCACTGAAGCAGCATAGTGAAGGTTGTGCTGGTGGGAGCTGAGACAGAATTTTGGATTACTATTTATATACTATTGCGAAATCCAGGAAAAAATACTGAGAGTCTGCAAAAAAATGGAAAAGTGAAATGGTAGTCCAGTTATATATAGGCTGTAGAAAGGAACAGGAGTATGACAAGTTGGATTTTAGAAGATGAAGAAGAAACAGAATCAATCCTAAATTTCTTGAGTATCAGTTGGATGCCTCATAAAGACATTACTAGAATGCAGACTCTTAGAGAAAGAGCAAGTCTTAAGGGGAAACTGGTGGTGCAAAATAATAGCTCTCTCTCTCTCTCTCTCTATATATATATATATATATTGCTATTAAATATATATGCATATATAAGCTATTATATATAAGTATATATAATACTATACTGTACTATATAACTATACATATATAGTAAGATAAAGATATGTCAGTATTTTGTTTTGTTTTGTTTTCATTCTCTTGCTACGTGGCCCAGGCTGATCTAGAACTCAGTATGTAACCCAGGCTGCCCAGGCTGGCTTTGAACATGCCATCTGCTTGTCTCCACCTCCCAAGTGCCAGGGTTACACGTGTGAGCCACTACACCCAGCAAGTGTGACTTTCTTAAATGCTTCATTTGAGCTTTTGAATTAAGTACTTCTCAGTAATCTGTGAGGTGACTCTCATTTCCCCCTCCCCCCCCACTTTACAGATGTGGAAACTGTGATTTTTGAGAGCAAGGTAATTTTATAGAGATCTTACAGTCGATAAGCAGGAAATGGAGATTGGAAAGTTGGATATATGAGTTTACGAAAGGTTCCTTGCCAGCCCCAGATGGAACAATCCTAGGTAGTGAGATTAAGAATCCAAATTATTATTGGTGAAAAAGTCACGGGTTTTAGTTAGTGACTACTTTTAAAATCTGAAGCTATTAGATCCAGAGATCATTTACATAGGTGTTTGATGGAATCACCCAAACATGATGTGATTTACATGGAACATTAAAAGCTTGCTAACATAATTTTGAATGTAATGTTTCTATTATACTCAGTGCAGTTGTGTAGTGGTGATTTTAGTGTTAGAGCACATGTTAAAACAAATTGGTTTCCTTGTTAAATAATACAGTTGTCAGATTGGTGCATGAACTCAAGTATCATAGAAGGGAGTGAAGTGAGTAAGAAAGGAGAACAGGGAAGGTAAATATAAGCAACTCTGGAAACATCACAATGAAACTCCTATGTATCATTAATATATGCCAGAAGAACTTTGTTTAACTCAGAGCTTCTGAACTTGACTACGAAATCCAGAACTGTGTCTCTCTTGCCTTTTCACCTTAATGCCAGTGACAACAGCATTGGTGGTGTCAACTGAGATTTCTAAGAATCATTTGGGGAAACCTAGTTATTGCTGAAATCAGATCAAGGTCAGCACTTTTTTTCTGTAAAGGACAAGATAATAAATATTTTAGATCTGTAGGCCACAGATGATCTGGCTGCATATTCTTGTTTCTTTTTACCACACTTCAAAAATATGAAAAACATTTTTAGCTTGCTGGCTACATGTAGGCAGAACGTAGATCACATTTGGCCTTTAAGCCAGTTTGTTGACCCTGAATTAGACAATGCAAATAAAAAAGATGACTATGAGGAAGAAAGTATCATTCAAAACAAATGAGTAGGTAATTAAATGGAATCTTGGCCAAATTGTTATAATATTTACACATAGAACAGTATACATAAACAATATTGCTTTACAGTATGATTAGGGAGTAGGACTAAGTTCAGATATACATTTAACTGAAAATTATGAAAAGATGCTTTGATTAAAGACATCTGTGTATCCATTGTCAATTTTAACAACGGTGTCCTGTAGCCCTTAGATTTTAATAGTACCAGTTTGAGTGAAAACAAAGGCAAATACAAGTTCTGCCCATTCTTAGGTTTCATCTATTAAAAAAGTTTGAATTAATATGTAACTTGATATAAACTCCTTAGAGCAATTAGGAACAAAGAAAAATTTAATTTTAAATTTAGATTAATGGTTTCTAATTATTATTGAAGCAAAACTTAGGAAAAACAGTAAATTACTTTTAAAGGGAAAATTAGGCCGTGTGAAAAATGTGCATGTACCGAGCCTATTAAATCTACTTTTATTAAAGATATGTGTTTGTAATACCAGCTCACTGAGAAAATGTCAGTCTGTGGAAGATGCTCTACCATTCCTTCTGATGTGCTTGCTCTCAGACTGGAACTGCCTGGTCTGAATCTCACCTGACACCTGCCTGCCTGATTACCTTCAACTTCTCTCTACTAGGTACTGTCTTACTTGTAAATGAAGATGTGTCAACATCATTGTTAAACAGAATCCAATTTTTTGGTTTTGTTTTAGCATAGTTAATATTTCTGCTAAGGGTA